AGTATTGGTTCCAGTACACAGTGACGTCAAAGGATTACAGTGCATAGTGGAGGATATTCAGAAGGAGGTAGAAGATATTCAAAGACAGCTCGCCAGCCAACCTGCACCATCCCCATCGATCAATGACATATCACACCCATCGACCGATATGAGACCTCCAGAATCAACCGACGAGACCACACACCATGACACCATGCAGCGGACTACAGAACACATCTACAGTATGCTTGGACACCATCAGTACAGCATTGCAGGCTTGGAGGAATGGTTAGAAAGGATCCAAACTGAAGTTTGTGGTTTGAAGACTAGTATGACCAGAAGCGAGAAAGCCACAAGAAGCTTTTTAACTTCCTGGTTTGAAGAATCACAAGACAAGGAGGATACTTGTTTGCCAACAAGTACCTGCAACCCACCTCACTAGCCACCATAATTCCACAGTCAAGCTAACTGACTTTAACCAAGCGCTGAGTGGAGGCAACCCACTGTTAGGTATTTTATTTCTTTATTTTAATTTATTTTTACTTATTACTTTCGTTTTTATTTGTTTTTAGGAAGATAGACACACGATCAATACCTATCGACTGATACGAACCAGTCGATCTCGCTCGACACATACCTACACGCATCGGCTGACGATGGCGACTCACCATCGATCGATATCCATATCAGTCAGGTATATCGTTCACAATTTCGATATCAGATACACATTTAATTATTCTTATGCTCTAACTCTGACTGATTATACACTGAGGACAGTGTATGATTTAAGTCTGGGGGGAGATGATTACTGATGCTACTTTACCTTTTTTTGATCTTATTTATAAAGTTTTCAAAACTTGGTTTTATTGAGTCAAGAAAGGGAAAAAATTTCAAAGTCGTACTTTTTATCTTACCACTCTTTAGCACCATTCTTAGATTTGTTGATTGCAGAAAGTACTATAGATACTAAAGTGGATCACCGATAACCTATGACAACACTTTCATGATTGTCTGGAAGAACCAAAGCTGATTTCCAACCTAACCTGACATCTACTGCTTGTCTTGGGGCTTGGTATAAGAGGGATCGGAATCCTCCTGAAAGTCTAGAAGGTAAGAGTCAAAAATTTTGGTTTCCTTCTTTCCTTCCTTCGGCATCCCCAGAAAATAAAAGATTGAGATGATTTCCTGAGAGGCAGAGGGAGAGGTACATTACCCATGACCCCACTATTCTAAATCAAAGGAATGATCACACATTGTGGAAGCGAGGGAGAGGTACATTACCCATGACCCCACTATTCGCTTACACTTTGTCAAGAAAGATCAATAAGATGAACATTAGTTGTGCATTGGGATTGATATAAAAAAAAAAAAAGAAGAGAAAAAAAAGAAAGAGTTGGGATTCAGAGAAGGGGGATAAAGAAAGAAAGGGAACCAGGATGAGAATGCCTGAAACTTGTTTGAGTTGAATCCATGTGTTCCTTGATCGATACTCCCAAGGTAAAGCCTACACCTTTATTTTTATGCATAAATGAAATCAGTAGAGGGGATAGATAGACAAGGAATGTTTAAGTTGATTGGCTAGATGTATTTGGTTGCTAAGCTAGGATATGGTATAATGTACTTCTGTAGTTGATAGATATGAGATGTGGCTTGCAACAAAGTAAGAGGTGATGATTTTAAAGTTGAGATTTTGATTGAGTCCCTGCTGTTTTTAAACTTCTTTCAAAGACTAACTTAAGGTTTGCTTGAGAACAAGCAAAAGGTTAAGTCTGGGGGAGTTGATATACCATGATTTTGACCCGTTTTTGGTCATGGTATTGATATGTTTTTATGATAATTATCTATGTTTTGAAGTCTATTAGGTATGTTTTCATGTTCAGAGCATTTTGTAGTAAAGTGATGATTTAGGTGCCTCATGGAGCTTAAAGGAGAGTTTTCCAAGATGACTATGAAGATCCGACCATTGAGAGACACATATCGATCGATACACACCTTGTGTAATAGATCGATGACGCTTCCGTAGAAGTTGAAGTCGAGATACTCCATCGATCGATGTACACTATGTACCATCGATCGATACAAAGCGTGATGAGCAAGATTTACTTGGCCGATTTGAAGCCCAAGTTCTCACAAAATTACAAGATTGCCCCTGACGAGTTTTTAACCTAATTGTTCACATATTTATAGTTATGCCTATGAACCCTAGAAAGACAATCAGAAAGTATTGAGTTTTAGTTTTGTATTCTATTCTATACTTAGCAATAAAGTATTTTCTTTTCATCTTATTCTTTTGCTATGAATCTCTTGGCTATGTCTGAGTAGATTCATTTGTTAGATTTAGGGTTCAAATAGTTATGAGGGATTATCCCCAACTATGGAGTGTTGCGTTGTTATATTAGGTATGTTTCAATTCGATCTGATGCTATATCGATTGATACTCCTATACAGTAATCGATCGACGGCAACATATATCGATCGACACTGCGATAGCAACATCGATCGATACTGTCAGCAATCAGATCAATGGACGAGTCTAACTAGCGACAGCTATAGATTTGTCTAAGGATTGAAGTTCTCATATATTTGCAAGCAATTCGTTAAGACATCCATAGATTTATAATCCTGATTTTCTGAATAGTAACCTTGAATCTAGCTGCTTTCTTTTATTGTTTTAAAACCCAAAAACCATTTTCCTTAGCAACTTACCATTGCTACCAACTTTTATTTATTGTTTTAAACCTAATCAACCTAGTTTAATCACTTAGGATTATATCTTTTGTGACTCTAGTTCCTTGTGGATTCGATCCCTAGGTACTACGATTGAACCTCTTATTTGAGAGAGTAATTCACTCCTTAGGGTTAAATATTTGAGTGATATCAGTATGGTTGTGTTAGTAATAAATAGAACTTACGTTGTTGTTGTTGGAATGTGGTAAAAAAGGTTTGAATGAACACTGGTTCGGAGGAGAGGAGAAGCTGCTCTGCTCACGTTATGTACCATGGAGATAAAGGTAAATCCAAAGTTCTCTTTGATCTTTTAGGTTGAGTAATAAATGTTTAGGTTAGTGTATGGTTGTGTTAGTAATAAATATAACTTACGTTGTTGTTGTTGGAATGTGGTAAAAAAGGTTTGAATGAACACTGATTCGGAGGAGAGGAGAAGCTGCTCTGCTCACGTTATGTACCATGGAGATAAAGGTAAATCCAAAGTTCTCTTTGATCTTTTAGGTTGAGTAATAAATGTTTAGGTTAGTGTATGGTTGTGTTAGTAATTAATAGAACTTAGGGTTGGAGTTTAGTGATGGTGTAGAGTGATTAATGAGTAGTAGATATCAGTTTAGTCTGTGATGAATGTGTAGAGTAAAGCTGTGTTCTGTTTCACTTTCTGTTTATGTACTTCATCGAGTTCATGTAGTTCTGTTTCACTCTGTTTTATGATCTTGTTTCATTTTAAATGTTATTGTTCATGTGAGGAGTTTTTTTTAAAATGTTCATGTTCCGTAAATAAAAATTGTTGATGCTAAAATGTTAATGTTTCTGATGCAGGTGAGAGAGTATAGCAAAGAAGACAGTCACAGGTTTGACAAGGTGAGATGAGAGCAAACGCAGCTGATATCGTTGGAGCAAAGAAGACAGTCATGGGTGTTGTTTTGTTTAAGAACCTTAATTAAGTAACAACCATTAAACCATTATAATTAAGTGTTTCTTAACTAATTTGCTTATCTTATTTTTAACTAGGATAAGCCCGTAGGACGGGAAGCAGTTAATAATTTAAGTAATTGGAGAAATATCATATATTTTTTGTTATTATTTAAATATATACATATTAGTTAAATTTTTTATATTCTATTATATTTGAAGATTAATTAAACCATATTATATGAATAATTGGTTATGTTTTTTAAAATAAATACCAATTATTATTTTAGAATGAGATTTTCTAAATAAATCATGTTACTTGAATGATTGATTATGATTTCTTTAAAAAATAAGTACTACTTATTATTTTAAAAATATGAATTTTTTGATTAAAAAGTTAAAATATTTTTTATGTTTAGTAATTGGTGTTTTAATTATAAATTAATATTTAAATGTTGTTTTACGTCATTTCTTGTGATTTCTCGTAGTTGGAAACCAAAAAATCAGTTGAGTTGATTCCCAGTCAACTAAGAGTTATATCTCGCGTACAAAAAGTAATATGATAAAGGTCTGATTTATATCTTCCCAAAACCTGAAAAATCATAATCATATAAACCAAAACGTAGAAACCTTTCTATATAAACCAAAACCATAATCATATAGAAACAAATTCAAGTAAACCAATAAATAAAGAAAACCATAATCACGTAGAAACAGATTCAAGTAAACCAAAACGACTTCAAAAAAACGTATCTTCACCTTGCCTAAAAGAGGCCATGGAGAGTTGAAATCGCTGGGGAGATAACAGTAGAATCCTTCGGTGAAAAGGCCGTGATGCTTGAGCCAGTGAAAATATCCTCCATGTCGTTTGTATCTGCATGTTTTTCTCCTTGAACTTGGATGAAGAGCCCGAGCATCTCATCTACAAACATCCTGCCGTCCCCGGAGTAGTTGCCAAAAACAATTTTGATTTCTTGAGATGGCTTGCATAATGGTCGCCTGAAACGGTGGAAAATGGATCTCAGAAGGAAGAACGTCTGAGCTATTTGCCGGAGTTTTGTAACTAAAAGATATTATGAAAATGTAAATAATGGATCCTTATATTTATAGCCACCATGAGGAACAACCTGACTTTGACGGTGGAGGAGGAACTGCCGGAGAGTAAATCTGGTTAGAGAGATATTAGGATGGATTTCAAAGGAAGAAAGCCTACCATTTAATATCCATAGATACACCGACGGGAAGAAAGCAAACAGACGCCATGGAATCCCAGAGAATTGAATCGCCAGGCCGACAGAAGAAAACAGCTTGCAAAACAGTTAGGAATGGAGGATTAGATGAACCCTAATTTCCCTATGGAAGCGGGTTGAAAGAACGATTAAATGAAACGCAGTGTTTTGTTTGGATGGACATATGTCACGCTAAGGTAAGTCTAATTAGTGATGTGGCATTCCCAGGAGAGAATAAAGTCTACTTTATATATATAGATAATTAAAAATTCATTAATGGTCCACTTAAGCAACACTTGGTTTTTGCAATGCAGATGCTCTAAAGTGGATTATCTCCTATAAATAAAAGCCGAATATCAAGGCATTCTGGGGTGTCCACGTCGACGTCGACATTTATAATCGACCAATAGGATTATTTCGTTAAAGAGTTGTTTGGGTTAGGCTTTAATGTTTCTGGACCATAAATATTTTTAAGTTAGAGCCAGCCCATATCATATCATCTCCTGTTTCGTTTCTGCACCGAAGACATCTCCTAGGTCAAGCAGACCTCTTTCTGTCCTCTCATCTCATCCTTTACCGATTCCTCTTCCCCTTAACTCTTTGCCTCCTCTCTTTAGGGAGGTTTTTCTGGATCGAGATTCCTCCACGACTACACTCCATCAATACTTCGTTAAACTCATTCAATCGAATGCCACATCTTGTTCCCACTTTTGTTTCGACTGTGCAACATCTGTAGGGAAAGAACAGTTTGAAAGGTAAGGTCATCGTATATAGTTCACCTTATTGGTTTGAATCTGTTTCAAATGATTTACTCTTAACGTGTTCTTTCCTTCCCACATTTTTCACGCTAGATTGGTTGGTGATGGAGCCAATGCGAGTTCCTCTTCATCAAAAGTGGTCCCTGCACAAAATTTAGAGCCCGTAACCATTTCTGAGCTGAACATGTTTTTCTTTTCCATTGTTATGACACTCTTATTTGTGTTATATTATTGAGTTTCTATTTAAGGCCGAGGTAACCGGTGTTCAGTCAGAGAAAGAATGGTCCTATATTGGATGCTCCAAATGCGCAAAGAAGCTTCAGCGTGGTTAGTCATCTTTCACTTGCCTCTTTTGTGATAAGCAAAACGCTATGGGTGTATTAAGTTAAGCTTTTAAACTGTTTTTATTCAAAATAATCTGACAAGTAAAGTTGGATTGATTCATGTGTGTTAATTATCTAACACTCTATTTTCTGTGAAAGAGGTATCTTGTGGAGTTGACTGTATGGATGATGCTGTCTTTGTAGCATTTGATACCGAGATTGCCAAGTTAACCAACATTCAAGCAGCTGAGGCTGTCCAGATTTTGGTAACGCCTCCAAAACCCACCTACTATTAGCCTGCACTACTCATTCTTTGGTTGGTTTCAGAATTGTAAAACTCTATTTTGCATGGTACTGGTGTAAATGCTAAAGTCCACACAGAATTGCCTTGCCTCCCTTCTTAAATGAAATAGTTGGAAAAACATTCACTTTCCAGCTCAATTTGTGAGAGTTTAACTTCACTTCCAAACACCAAATTTTCACTGTCTCCCGTATACTGAGCACGAGAGGGCACCATTGCCAGCCTTTGTTAATGATGATGTTCGTGTACTGTCCGTTTACAACATTTATCACTTTTATATTCACACTACTGCGATGTTTTCAGGTAGATGACCATGGACCCGATGACAATGGAGATCGTGTGGGATTAACTGGCATTGCAAACAAACAGAGAGTTGTCAACGGTGAAAACGTGAAGAAGAAGGCACGCCAGGAGTAGATCTACGTGAATTAAACAATTCCCCACCACCTTGCTTATCAAATTATGTATTTATCATTTTCTCCTTTTTTAAGTTTGAGCTCTTTAGTATCTTTTGCTTTTATTTTTGAACTCTTTGTTTAATGAATGTAATTCGTTTTTTTTTTTTATATTAAAGACTCTTATCTCTTTCATGCATACCAAAATCTATAATAATGTTTTGGCAGCTTAAATTTTGTATTATCCTTTCCAGGATAACCTAATTACTATAATCATAAAATCATGTAAATCCCGTCTGTTAAACTTTTATTTTGAACCTTTTGTTTCATTGGATGTTTAAACTATAAAATAATTTGTTTTCTCTTACTTTCTTTGTTAGGCTTCATCTATTTCGGACATACAAAATTGAAAATATTTATGCAGCTTAAATTTGTATTATCTTATTCAGCGAATGACCTAATTCCTATATTTATAATTCATGAAGATTCAAAAACCGACTGAAGCACAAATATGTGTGTTTACACGTTTTGAACATACATTTGTTTACACTTTTCCGCCAATTGTTTGTGATTTATACAGTAAATAAAACAAGTCAAAAGTAACATTTTCTTGCAGCAATATTAAAATTCCTTACTATACAACGTTTTCAAGTTCATAGTAGTCCTTAATAAAAGACAGTTACGGTTCAACGTATTTCTTTCGCCTACCCATCATAGTCCCTTAACACTTGATGTTAAATGCAGTAAATACACATTAATCAGCTGTTACAATTAACTCCATAGACCCTAAGTTTTCCACGTTTGTCAAAGTAAAACAAATTCTCAGGCCGGCTTCTCTAACAAATTCTCAAAGTCCGGTTTTTGGATCCGTAGCTCTCCTTTTGGGCCTCAGGTTCAGAGACGGCGAGTTAGAGGAGGTTTCATTCGAGATGATGCACCTTGGTGTTGTTGCTTCTTGAGCCATGTTCTCCAATCAAAATTTTTGGTGCCCAAGAGCTAGGAGTTAAGTGATAGTCTCGATTGGATGCCGGTTTTCAGATTGAAATCCCATCTCTCGCAACTAGGGGTAATGAGCTTAGGATCTCTTTGCAAGATTCAAAGTCTGAGCGCCTATGAATTGATTGTCCTATTTTGAGCAAACGCACCACTTTTGGTGTTGTAGCGGCTGGTTCTGCGCTCCAGTCAGATCTTTTGATATCAACTGCTTTGGTAGTCATATGTGCTCTTTGCTGGGATCTCTCGGAGTAATAGGATTGCTTATGTTAGCTTTGTAATTTTGTCTATTAGTGGTTGAATTAGTTGGTGTAAGAATGGTTTATCTCGAGTCGTGGGATAAATTCATTCTGCTGTGGTGAAAAATGCATCGACGTTTTGATTGGGTAGCGTAGGATCCTTCTAAGTGTTCCTAGGTGATATTAGATCTCGTTGATGTATGTGGGGTTAAAATCTTTTGGGGTTTAAATCTTGTATTCACTCGTTTGGTTAATGAAAGTTGTAGTTGAGCCCAAAAAAAAAAAACAATCACAAACTCGGAAAACATGGTTAAGGCTACGGTTAGAGGTAAATGCAAAGACAAGAAAGGAGGTTCCTCCAAGCCTCAACCTGAAGCATCAAGCTCAACATCATCAACCGTCAAGAAGCGTGGGTCAAGAAGAAAACCAGGTTTCTTCTTCCCAGACTTCACTGCATCCACATTAGTCAAATGTTATTACCTTTTTGTTTTTTACTTTCTCCTCCTCTAGCGTGTGAACAACGTCTACCATGGCTTAGCAATCAGCATCTTCCACTCATAGATGCAACCTTACCTCCAGACCATTCAGCTGTAGCTAATATCAACAGTACACATGTTCTTCCCCATCATATTTTTACCATGTTCCAGCTAAATTGTTTCGCTGAAGTGAACGTTTTCCATCAACTAAAATATGTGCAGCAAGGCAGGCTCGCCAAAAAAAAAAAAAAAAACTAATCTGCGCAGCTAAGCATGGTCACCAACCGGCCAGTATCTTACACTGACCCCACTGATGTAGTTGACGCCACTAATGTAGCACCATCACTGATGTAGTTGACGCCACTAATGTATCTTCCAGGTTGAAGCAAAGACATTAATCATCTTGGTAAACACACACTTCTTATATCACGCAACACATGAGAGAAAAAAATCATGGTCCTAAGATGGTTTGTACTTAAGAAGAAGAAGAAGAAGAAGAAGAAGAAGAAGAAGAAGAAGAAGAAGAAGAAGCAGGTTGAAGCAAAGACATTAATCATCTTGGTAAACATACACTTCTTATGCCACGCAACACATGAGAGAAAAGAACCAGGTTGAAGCAAAGACATTAATCATCTTGGTAAACACACACTTCTTATGCCACGCAACACATGAGAG